GTTTGAGGCCTGGATAAATGGGCTTTGCATATCAGACCTAGTAGTTCTTTATTTTACAGTAAGCTATATGGCATACCCCATCCAGCCCTTGATAACCACTCTCATGTTGCCATCAATGGAGTGTTGTGCTAGCAAGTCTCTTAGCTACTGACACTGACCTACTGGAATTATAAACCCCAGTACATCAAATCACTTTGTCATGTACGAAACTTTAAGCATGGGAGTAATTTCATTGAAGTCCCAAGTGCTGAAACGTGTTGCTGGATTGGGACCATAGTTAGTTTTTTTTTTTTTAAATTCCATCTGATTTACCAGATATTTTCCACTCTATGAAACCTTAGTGATGAATTTTTGTTAGTTTGTATTTCCTCTTGCCTGTCGCTAGATTTAGACTTTTTCTTCATGTTACGTCATAACTGCGCCATAAAGCCTGTTGGAAGACTGGAGTTATATTTGCTTTCCTCCAGTCCTCCTCTACCTCTCCTTCCTCATCAAGAGGCCATTATGAAATGGGACCAGTTATCCTTTCAACTTCCTTGGCATTCACATAAAAATAAAACTCTAGGCCAACATCACTGCCCATTTATTTTGCTTTTGCAAATATTTATTGAAATCACTCTTTATTTATTTATTTTATTCCTTTTTTTTCTGTGTTTCAGTATTTCAAAATACAGTATATTTTCTGCCACAAGTCAGTCAATTATGGTGCACTGTGTTCTAGACCTGGCACTTTTTCTGCAACACAAGAAGGCTTCCCTGTGTTTTGAGTAAGATGATAAAAGTGTGAAGGAAAATGTTTACAGCTCCTTGTATGTTCTTTTTGTGCCCTCCAGAATACTAAGAAAAAATTGTTGGAATAACAATGACACACATGTCAATCAGCCCTTTGAGTGTCATAAGAGCCATTTAATTGCTGTCATTAGAAGCAGTGTTGACATGATTTTGTTGTTCTTTTAGCTGAGTTATTGATGAATATTGTACCTTTGAAATTGGTGGTTGGTACCCAAACATTTATCACTAGATTTACTGATTACCAAATTTACACAACAACTTGCACAGTGGATAGAAAGACAACCGGTAACTCACTGGAAATGAGTCTGAGCTCCAGAAAAATATCCATTCATTACACTAGCTCATCAAAGCCCCAACCTATAAATTCAATGAGATCCACACAGCTTGCAACTCAGTCACTGTCTTCTCTGCTGTGTTGCTGCAGTCACATCACTGATATTGTTAAGCTGAAGGAAGTCCTTTCTGATTACTTTATTGTGCAAGCACTTAACAAATGGTCACTTGTTCCTTTCTCCCCGGTATCCATTGTTCAAGGGGAAATTTATTTAAATAGGCAGCAAATTAAAACAGACAAAAAGGACATTTCTTCACATAAAGTGGAATTCTTCTGTGGAACTCATTGCCACAAGATATTGATGTCAAGTGTTTGACATGATTTAAAAAGGGATGGGATATTTATATGAAATATGAGAACATCCAGAGTAACATCAATATTTTAAAAAATGGAAGGGGAATAACCTTTCCTGCCTTGAGGTATAAGCCAGCCTTTAACTGATGTGGATTAGAAAAATTTTTCCCCATGGGCAATATATATATAGCCTATTTGTGAGTTATTTGTACCCCACTCTGAAGCATCTGTTTTTGGACACTGTCAGAGACTGGATTTAGGACTATATGGCTCAATGGTACGGCATTTCCTATGTTCATTTTCAGTCTTGCTCAGAAAGATTGAGTTGTTGAAGCATTTTGTGAGCTTGTTTCTTGATCAGCTCACTTCTGAATGGTTTTGCTTGTGTAATGTATATTTTTGGTCGACATTTTAGATGACTTCATAAACGCATGAAAAATTTCTTGCGTGATGCCATCATTCTGAGCTTAGTCATTCTGTAAGACTTGACCATCATCTCCACAATGGTGCTGTGCTATGTCTAAGAGTAAGTGCCCATTGTCTCATTTTACAGATAATCTTTCAATCTCATCATGATTGATCTAGCTAAACCGACTGCAACTACCACACCATTAGTGCTCACTAGAAATTTTGGTGCCAGCAGGCTGCTCTCTTTGTGAGTCTGTTTTGCTGTGGTCTTTACTTAGGTTCTATTATGGATTTTCATTAAAATTCCCAGCTTTTGTGAACCATCATTCAGTTGCCCCTAAAGCACACCAGTACTGGCAGAAAACTCTCTTCTGCATATTGAGCTAAGTTGTCCATTCATATTTCTAAAAATGTTCATGGTGAAGATTTCATTTGTAACCTCTCTAATGTTGTTCATCAAGCAAGGCATAACTTCAGTGCAAAAAATGGTACCTATGCATGGAGCAGAACACCTCATATTCTCGATCAATAATCCAGATATTCAGGAACATCCAGCATACCTTGAAGACACACATTAACGAGGCAGACTTATCAGGCAGTGTGAAGGCTGCTTCTCACCCAGGTGTGGATGTGATGTAAAAAACGGAGTACAGTTGTTGGAAAGGGGAGGAGATGTCAGGTCGGTAAATAATGAGGTGGGATCAGTGCTGAAGCAGCTGGAGATGGCATAACTCAAGAAGATAATTCATATGCTGAGTCAGGAGCAGATGTCAGTAGAGACAATTTATCGAGGCATTTGGATGCTGATTTTGTAACGTGTGTTGATGGGACATGCTTGTCAGACAGCCTGTTTGTGAAGCCCAGTGTTGCCTGTATCAGTGGTTTGTTAGGGGGTGACATTTTGCTGGAGGCGACCTGAGCTGAAGAAAGAGGGGATTTGAAATGGTTAAAGCAAACCAAATTTTCAGTTTTCTGTTGGAAAACTTACATTGGCAAACAATGTCCTTTTGAAAATGAAAAATTCTGCTGGTAAACTACAGCTTCCCTGTTTAAAACAAACTGACAGGCCCTAGACCCTGTGCTGATGTGCAAAGCTGTACTGCTCATTCACTCTGTCTGCCGTACCCGGTGCGCTGTGATAGCAGTGAACAGATACCAACATACTGGTGGTAGTTGCCACACTACAGCTGACCATTGTTTAAAAAAAATAAAAAAGTGTGATGCATGAAAAAGGGTGGACAAGTCTCTAGACGGCAGACTGCTAGATTGACCTTAGGTCCTTTGGAGATCCCCAGCAGGGCAGCTACCTATAACTGTAGTATGCATGTGTTATGATTTTTACTTTGAGATGGGATGGTAGAGGGAGAGGAGAGTGCATCTGTTGCGTTCAATATTATGGGGCCTCCGCTTTCCCCCCGGTTACACAAATAAATATGTTATCCGTTGAAAATTAAAAGCTGCCAAAGACTATCCCTTTAGCAGATTAAAAATCCAGCAGACTACAAATCTAGCAGACTACAAAGTTTCTCTTTTAGAAACATAATCACACACATGGGTAAAAGACAACAACAGTCAAACCTCTCTGTGGTGAAAGAGAAAGCAGTTCCTTTCTGGAATGAGGACAATGGTGTAAACAGAGGAGGGCATGAGGAGGAACTGGAAACATCCTGCTCTTCTCATGCTTCTTTCCCTCCTTCTTTTTCTTCATCTTCCTACAATTCCTTGGTCCTCCCTCCTCTTCTTCCCCCACTGGTCTTTATTACTGACTGCCTCCATTGGTCCTTTGCCCCAAGAGCAGATCAAATGGGGACTCTGGGGCTCACCCTGACCAGCTAATACAGTTGTAATAGTGTTACATAGGGTCTGCATAAAGTGTTTGGGGTGTTTCATATCATGTTATTTACCTCAAATTAACTACTCAATATAAAAAACACCCTTTTCCCTCTAATCTAGATGGACCCCGAGTCAATCTCCTTGTTAGTGAAGTATTCTTCCCTATACTGCTTGCCAGTGCAATGTACAGTCCCTGCACTACTGCAAGACACCACTGTAATACACTGTATTTTTATTCTAAATTAACTGGATACTTTAATATAAAAAGCTTTTAGTAGTTGAAATACATCCCAAATGGTCTAAAAATATAAATAGTTGAATATGTGCGAGCAACCAGCATTATTTACTGTCTAGTACATGCTGTATTCTTATGTGTGTGTTAATACTCATGCAACATCAATATACTTTAAACAAAATGGACTAAATTGTCTATGCAGTGCACTAGGGTTTTATCATGATTCCCATAAATGGCTCAAGAAATTGAGTGGGCAAATCCCCATGTACCACTTTGAAAATTAAGGCCCCAATCCTACAAACATGTATGCATGTGAATAACTTTGCTCATGTGAATAGTACCATGCAATTTTAGGGAATAATCTGGTCAAAGCTTGGCTTCTTAAAGGAGTACCAATATCACTGAATGTATTCACAGGGGATATGTATAAAATAATATCCAAAATGTCAAAGTGCATTTGGAATGGTAGTTTTAAACCAGATGTTTGATTCATATTCCGTAAAACACATTCAAAATCTTCCCTTTATTTGCACACTATCTGTGTTCACACCAGCAGCCTTATCCCTTATGTGGAAATTTAGAGCTGTATGTCTATAATTTACTGTATGGAATTGTTTTCTGTTTCTAATTATATTGTTCCTTGTTCTTTTAAAACAGATGCTTAAATGTTGGAGCCAAGTTTTATGTTTTATCCAGTTAAATATGCAAGTGTTTCTGTCTGCAGTTTTAGGGTTATTACACCCACGTTCCTAACACTTTTACATGTAATAATACTATTCAAAATCTGATACATGTCGATTTACAAATTAATATATTTTTAGATATTAGAATTCGATATTAGTTCTTGATATTAATGGTTTGTCTAGTACAACACTGCCATCCCATGATGGGCATGCACACATCGTATCTAAGTGCTGAGTATTCCAACATGCTAACACTGTATTTTGATTTTCTTTAGGAAGTGCTATTCGGCCCATAGCCCTGCGAGCAGTATCTGCTATAGCTCATGCTCTTCCAGGATTTCCCATCTTAGCAACTGGAGGAATTGATTCAGCTGAGAGTGGGATGCAATTTCTCCACAGTGGTGCTTCTGTTCTCCAGGTAGTTGTTTTTTTCCTTTAAAAATTATAATTAGTAATTTATCACAGAACTGTAATTTATCTTAAAACTAAAGATTTCAGCTCAAAGTAGGAAAAAGGACACATTAACATAATTGATCCATTGGAACAAATGTTCGTATTGTTGGCTCCATGCTCATTGCTTGGAGCCATTCACTTAAGATGTTCAGTGATAGAGTGGATGCCCCATAATCTATGGTGCTGACCTGGGAAAAGCTAGCTTTTTAAGAGTGAAATAGTATCTTTTTCTCTAACCAAAAAAGTTTTGAAATTAAATCACTTTCCCTTGTTAAGCAACTGAAGTGAATACATTTGTGCTTCCCAGTACATCCTGTGTTTTCAGTTTCTGTCTTGGCCAGCATAAGCTCTTTGGAACAGGGAGTTTTCATCCTGTGTCTTACTGAGCACTGAAGGGAATTCCAAATGGCTTTACTTTTGGTCCCACCTGCATTCAGTTTGAAATAGCTATTCTTCATCCAGGCACCAGTCTCCCTCAAGCACTTGGTTTGGGTGACGAAAAATGCAGAGCTGTGCATCCTTTACATGTTGTTGGCATCACAGTCATGGCTAAGGAATGGGATGTTAAATAGTTTGCAGTAGTTGGTTGCATTGGCTGATGTTTTCTTAAGCACTAGGCATACTTTAGTCTGAGTGATAGATTTTTCATTAACAGGAGGTGTTGGTAGTATAGATCCTAGGAGGTCCATTGACACTTCAGCATTTTGCCTGCACTGAGCAGCTGTCTGAAAACCACTGTGATATGTAGAGGAGGAGGACAGTTGTTGTGGGTAGTAGGTGGTCATAGCGTTTCTTTCACCAGGACATAAACCCCATGGTGTTAGGGTGGAGACAAATCTTCTATGCCATGTATCGTTGGAAGCCTGCAGGATCGATAACGTAATCGGGGAAGGAACACATAGTGTAGGTTGCATCTAAATGAAGGGGGAAACTTAGTTTGGAGGAGGTGATAGTCAGCCGACAATAGGGGTGGGCAAACTTTTTGCCCGAGGGCCACATCGGGAAATAGAAATTGTATGGTAGGCCGTGAATGCTCACAAAATTGGGGTTAGGGTGTGGGATGGGGTGTGGGCTCTGGGGTGGGGCTGGGGATGAGGAGTTTGGGGTGTAGGAGGGTGCTCTGGGCTGGGACCGAGGGGTTCGGAGGGTGGGAGGGGGATCAGGGCTGGGGCAGGGGTGCGGGAAGGAGTGCAGCGTCCAGCTGGGGGTGGGGCTGAGGATGAGAAGTTTGGGGTGCAGGAGGGTGCTCCAGGCTGGGATCGAGGAGTTTGGATAGCAGGAGGGGGATCAGGGCTGGGGCAGGGGGTTGGGGCGTGGGGAAAGGCTCAGGGGGTGCAGTCTTCGAGTGGCACTTACCTCAATTGGCTCCCAGAAGCAGTGGCATGTCCCTTCTCCAGCTCCTATGCGGATGTATGGCTAGGCGACTCTGCATGCTGTCCCATCCACAGGCACTGCCCCTGCAGCTCCCATGGGAGTGTGCAGGAGCCGGAGCGGGGCCATGCCACAGCTTCCAAGAGCCGAGGAGTGCGGCCCCCAACCCAGCACCCCAGCTGGAGCTCTGGAGCAGGGCCGAGCCGCGTGGTCCGGCCCCCAACCCAGCGCTTCGGCCAGAGCACTGGAGCAGGCCATAGTTTGCCCACCCCTGGTCTACAACATGACAATGGTGCCTTCATTTCCAATACCTCCTTTGGCACTGAAAATTAGATCCAGTGTGTGGCTGGCCTTACTGGATAGCTGAAATGACAGCAAAGGCCAGTCCCAGGTTTGCTGTGGTGGAGAGAAAGTCCTGGGCAAATTTATTGGTGAGGTTATTGACATAAGCCCTGAAGAGTCACGCAGTACTAGGCATTTGTGGGACCTCTAATAGGAGGTCTGATGCTACAGTTACTATCGCAAAGCTATCAGGGCAGATTGAATACCCCTGGGATCCCAAACTACTGTTTGTCGGGTAGCCCCAGAAGCAAGTAAGTGAGGTGAAATGTTCTGCATTTAAGGGGAGATAGTGGTGTACTCTGGAACCTTTTGGGGGAAGAGGTAGCAATAGGAGGTTCACATGCCCTGACAGCCAATCCTGAATTCTCTGTATAAGCATCAAAGAGGCAGAAGAGTACACAAGGTTATCCTGTAACTTGTTTTGTCTATCTGCTTTACTAATAATATTATTTTTTAAAACTTCTCTTAGGTTATTTCAAACTCTCCTTTTACAATAAAGGGTTCAGGGAGCTACCTTGTCTGGATAACAGTCTCAGTGCTACTTCAGTTCTGTGTCTCTTACACTTACACTTACACACGCACAAAACAATCGTATGATGCTACTTCTAGTACAATATTTGTCTACAACAAAAGTATGATCAACAAGGGAGTGTTTTCAGAACTACACATTCATTTCATTTATGGCCGCTAATTAGAACTGAACCTAGACCAAAATGTAGAGTTATGCACTTTTCCTTAATACAGATTGTGTATGTGTGTGTGGGGAGGGGTTTCTTGTGTGTAGACATGTCCCTGAAGATAATGGAGAATTCTAAAATGTAACTAAATACAAAGAGAGTGGAATGGGTATTGTCTCTGGAGTGGCTAATTAAAGAATCACTTGCTGAACCTAGAAAACCCAGATTAATTTTTGAATGCTAATTAAGTACTGGCTGATTAAAGTGATTCATGTTCAGTGTGGAGCTTTGTACCATAGAACACTGGGCTGGACACCTCCTTTAGAGAACATTGCAAGGCTCATCTATTTCCAGCATCGTTTCCTCAACGGAGACAATGACTATTTTCCCCTCTTAGGGTTTCTTTATACCAGAAAGTTGCCTTGCTTTAATTTAAATAATTTTAAAAACCGATTTAGATAAATGGGTGCAAAACCTTGTGTAGACACTTACTTTGGTTTAAGAGTGGCTTATTTCAGCCTAGCTGAAGTCAGTGAGTAATGGACTGAAGATAAATGGATGTAATCTGCTCTTAAACCAAAATGATATTGACCTTAGATATTTCCCCTGTCTAAGGGAAGAAGTAGAAGAGGGTGGGAAAAACATAAAACCTTCAGCAGAGGATGGTGCCAAAAATATCTGATCAGAACAACACTGACGTTCATATTTGATATCTAGATGGAATGAGATATAACCAAAACTGCAACTCCACCCCGCATCCAGCCCTGCTTCCCCCACACCTAGGGTCCCCAGAAGGGAATTGCCAGCACAGCCCAGAATGGGCAGGAACACGCAAACCAGGCACCTCTGCCCCAGTGGCAGTGGCTTCCCCTGCGCCACAACTCCCTGCCAAGGTGGGCTGTCAGGAGCTCATCTCAGAATGGTCAGCCCTTGGATGCTGGCACCTGCAGCAGGGACCAGCCTCTCTGCAGTCAGACCTATGTGCCTCTGCTCCCCACCAACATGGAGAACAGCCTCTCTGAAAATGGTACCCCTGCGTGGCAACCCCATGCACCAGGTCCAATGGCACTCATTGAAGTTTGGCCCAATCACCTCTTCATCGTTGATGTCATTTCAGTGTTTAGAAGTGCATTTGACCTAGCCTCTCTTTTGGGAGGAGGAGCACAACATTTTCGTATGTATAATTTCAAGGTTGCTTATACAATAAAGGAAGTTTATAATAGATGCAGATTAATTTAACTATTTGTAACTTTAGCACCTATGTGGCCAAGATGCAGTTTACTCTTCAGGCAGGCTCTGGCCAAGAAAAGGGGTGCTCAGGAATGCAGCAGGGAAAAACCTGTTTCAAGTCCCCTGGAGTGATCACACATGCACACCAGGACAGTACAATGAATACAGGGAAGGGAAATATTTATTTACAGAAGGATGAATGGAGAAAAAACAACAAGAAGGCAGAGTGGGGGAGTAGTAAAACAGGGTTACACTCAACATGAGGCCCCCAGGCCCAGTGGTACCACCATATGAAAGGGCAGACTCTGAGCAGTGTGTCTACACTCAGGCTATGTCTATACTACAGCCGTGATTGATGCTCTGAGATCAATCCACCAGCAGTCAATTTAGTGGGTCTAGTGAAGACCTGCAAAATCAACAGCAGATCGCTCTACAGTTGACCCCTGTACTCTAACCACGACGAGAAGGGTAAGGTAAGTTGACGGGAGAGTTTCTGGAGGACCTCTGGGGACCTCTGGAGCTTAATGCATGAGCTTCTATAGCATGAGCTAAAAGCCAACTGGCTGTTAACTAAGGCCGTAGAGCAGACTCATTTTATCTCTCTCTCTAAGTGGTCTCAGTGCCATTAGATGGGACAGAACACCACACCCAGGTGTGTGGGTTACACTTGCTGTAGCCCTTTTGTCTGGAGCTACAGACACACACACCCTTCCACTCTCCCTCTCCCCATGCCCCTGGAACAACCAACATTCTCCTCCCCAGGAAAAGGTTTTAAAGGGGCCATGATCTCTAAACCCCAAGGCTTTACACATTATCTGGAAGTTAAAATATATAAAACAACAGATAGCTCTTCCAATTTGTGTAGTTTCAGGAATGGTTGGAAAGAACATTTATTTTTTATCTTTTCAATCAGATCTTGGATGCATTTAAATGCTTCCACCACTGATCTCTTAGTACTGTGCTTTGTCATAGCATATCTCAGTCTACCTATTTCTTTTCAACATAAACATGAAATAAGCATAAGTAACTATGTTATCCACATGTGCCCAATCCTGCATTTCGTGTATACCCAAAGCTCTCACTGATTTTTGACTGCATCATTTTGAGGTTTGATCTCTTACTGTAGGGTTGTTATAGAGTGCAGTGTCATGGAAGTAACTTCTTTTTTCTTTTTAAATGAGCTTTCTCCTAAAGTTTTGATTTATAAAAATAAGGTTTTCCATCTGTTTTTATGTGTCACTTGCATCATGTGTACTTTACCATGTCATGTTGATGGTCTGGTAGATTGTTTGAAAGGCCTTTGAGGAACAGACATGCATTTGCAGAAGTCATTACACTGTAGGAAACTAAAAATGGAGACAATTATAGAAAATTCCAGTGGAAAGAGAAAATGTATTGTGAGAAAAGCCATAAAAGCACAAAAATACTAAAGTAAAACTCACTTCACAGTAGCCTGTATGATTCAATTGTAGATCAATATTATGTAGTTAATGCATTAGCAGTAGAGCATTAATTTGCAATTACTTCAGGCGATCTGATCCTCTGTGTTTCGTCCATTGACATAAATGACCTTTTGTTGAAAGAGATTCTGCAGTCATTATTTCTAGTGGATATAACAAAAAAGGGATAGAACAAAGAGGTTACTTTCTGCAGTATGCATTTTTCATGGTAGAGGCTCCTGAATTTATACCCTGGTACGGCATATTTTTAGTAAATCTTTACTATTTAGTTGCGAAACTTGAAAAAGAACAATAGGTCTTTTCAAACAACTTTTTAGATTGTTATAAAATGTATAGGTCATGGTCATGCATGTCTCCATCACCTCCAGGCTGGATTTCTGAAAAACACTCTAGGGGTGTTTCTGTGCCACCTGGAATGCTACTGCTTCTGTTGCCTACCTCCTAAGAGCTAGACTCTGGCTTTGCCACAAAGCCCTGGCTAAGAGGCACCATATAACTGTTCTGCTTCAGAAACAGACTGCAGGCTAGATTGTGACTCAGAAAATCACAATTTAGTCCCTAGCTCCTCTCTTGCTGCAGGAAGGAAGTAAACTGTGTCAGACCCATACCTGACTTGTTGCTTTCCCTTCTGTGCCAGCTCAGATGCACTCAATAGCGCACTGGTGGGACTGACTCAAGGTTCTATCCGCTCCCCTACCTTGCTTGTCAACTCCTCACCCGTCTGTCCCAGAGGGGCTGTTATCCCCTCCCTGAGAGACTTCTATCCGCCTCATACTGTGCCCCATGATATGGTTAGCCCACACATGGGATAACAATACCCTTGACCTCCCTTCCTGCTGTATGCAGAAGTATACAATGAAAAAAGCAATCTGCTAGTAAATGAGGCTGCCACTGTGACCATCTCACTGCCCCACATTCTGCACTGCCTACTTACGTCAAATTCAAGGTGCTGATTCAATGTATAAAGCCCCAAATGGTCAGGGACTTGATTAGTGAAAAAAAACTGCCCCCTCCCTTATATTCTGTCATGACACTGAAGACCAGCAAGGACACTTCTGCTGTTGGTTCCTGAGATAAACCCTCTCAAGCAAGGAACAGTTGGCTTTCTGGTAAGGGCCTGTTCCTGGGTACTTACGTCCTCTGGTAACTGGTAGCTAGAGGCTGTTAGGTTCTAGGACTCAGATTGACAGGATTTTTTCCCCAGCAAGTGTATTACTGAGGCATTTAACTGAGGGATTTTTAGAACAGCAGGACAGTTTTGTGTGTGAATAAACAAGCTTTTGCATAGCAAAATAGGGGAGGTTTCAACTGTTTGCAATTTTTGGACTTGTATTCACAACACTAAGTCATAAAACAAATAATCACCCAGAGAAGTGAGAATGCAGAAATCTGTACCTCTCTGAGAGACGAGGGAATGGAAGATTCATGGAGATGCCAGTTATGGAAAGGAAATGTGCATGTAAAAAAACTTTCCATTCTGCATCATGGCAGCTCCACTGATCCTTTGCTGCTGTGAAGTAGCAAACAATGAAAAGAAGAAAAGGAGAGTAAGGCACAGAAGTGTGTGTGTAATCATGAAGCATAGCACCTGTGCCATATGTAGACTTACTTTGGGGACCACTCTAGTTGAGTGATAATTCTGTATACTGTTGATCAGTTTGACTACATGACCAAGTGGCTGGTCTGCAGATTTTCTGTTTTAGTCAAATCATCTTCTTCCCATGATGAAGCAAATAATTTGGAAAAACGATCCTTGATGCCTTAATTTTCTTGTAACATCATAGTCCTCCCTAATACAACACTTGATCTATGTTGAGAGAGGTTCTTTTATCCATGCAATTAGAGCAAAGGAATTGGAATTAGAAGGAAACAGAGAAACAGATTATCTGAAACTCGCAGTACATTTAGGAAAGGTTTTAATTTCTCTCAACATCCAGGTTATGCCATTTCTTTTCCTTCTGATACTTACTATTTGAGCAGCGAAAGGGGAAAGAAAAATCTCTTGGGAAGTGTGAAAGTGAGTTTTTATCATAGGCCTCAGAGGGTCAGAACGGTTTTATTCACGTGAATTTCATTCTTCAACGGGAATAGTAGCTAGTTCACAAATTCCTACAGCCACGCTGATAAAGGATGAAAGCAATTGTAGCTGAAATAAAATAAAACAGTACTGAAGGGAGAGACTCACAGGGATGAGAGGTTAATCATTGCCAAACTAAATTGAGGTCCGAAGATGGAAAAATTGGTTTGCTGGTTGGTTTTGATAGATGTGCAGCTTTCAAAAATCAGGCCACCTGAGGATGTGCATCAAGAGAAGATGCTCATTAGAGCTAGTTGGAAATGTTTAGATGAAACTTTTTTCCATAGAAAAATGCCAGTTTGTTGAAACCAAAATGTGTCACGGAAACTTATTGATGTCAATGAATATTTCATCAGGTTCTCAAGTTGTTTGTGTGTGTGTGTGTGTGTGAGAGAGAGAGAGATTTTCTCTGTAGCACTATGGTTAGAGCACTGCCCTGGGATGTAGGTTCAGATTCTTTCATTGCCTGTTCAGAATGGTCTGGAATGAAAACCTTTTTTCTGAGTCACACAGAGCAGCTACTTGAACCTGTCTGTCCATGAGTTAATGATGCTGTTCATTCCTGAATGTGTCCTTTTACGGTGCTAACTCTGAGGGCCAAGGACAATCCATCCAGAGAGAAGTCAAGAAGTGATGGAATTCCTGACTTTCTAGCATTATTTTTTATTTAACTGCACTAATAATAATAATTTCTCCCTATGTGTGAATATGATTTTTGAGGTAGAAAATGAACTGGATTTTAGAAGGGTTACTGACTCTTTCAGAATAACCTGGATCTGCCTTTCAAAATTAAGCTGCCAGGTTTAGGGAGCTTGATGAAGAGGAGACCTATCTTTGGAGGACTTGAGAAGGCGGGTCAGGAGAATAGTGCCAATGGCCTTGTAACTGCATGACACAGCTACTGATCTGATGCTGTACCAGCTGCTGAAATGCATGTAGGAAGATTGGAGGATTTAATTTCCCTCCACCATATTTTCCTACTCCTTGGCACAGGATAGAGGTTTTTGCCTTCTGATATTCCACAAGTACATGATGAAGTTAAAGACAGGTGTAGAATCTAAACATGTGCTTGGTCTGTTTACATGCTGCTTTTTAGCGTGTCTGCCTACAAGCATCTCCTTTGCATTGCATACCACTGACAATACAATGGTACAGTTCTTTATGGGTGACTGACCGTGAGATTATGGGGCATAGCTGTAATGCTCAAGGCATGTGAAATCATATTTGTTTTCCTAAATAGATGGGTGTGATTGTAAAATCCTGCATGTGCCCATGTACTGAACAGGGGTTCGCTCTGTAACTCCTAGAACTAACAGAATACCATAGTCTCACATGAAAGTAATGCAGAGCATGCCTTTTTAATCTGCAGATCAGCACAGCTCTCACAGAATTTGATCCCTCTAAGCTGCTTACTCAGAATCTAAATGGACAAACATTTATGTACCTTTGTTCAGTTGTAATGTTCAAAAGAAGGATAAGAAACTCTCATCCAACTCAGACTTGCATCTTGATACTGCGTTCTCAAACCTTGTTAAATAGCATCCCATCTGCTACCCTATATCCCTAGAGTAGTTTAGCAGCTAATGTGAATAAATCAAATAATTTCATCTATATTTTATCAATACTTAAGAAGATTTTTCTTAGTCATGAACTTGTCCTTTTAGAAGAGAGGTTCTGAAGCTTTTTTTAGAGTGTGAACCATTGTCTTATATACCACCTCCCCTCATTCTCACAATCATGTAATGTCTTCCAGGCAACTACAGCAATTGCTTATATAGAGAAATAATTTTAGGAAAGTATACAATGTATTTTTAGCTGTTGTAATTTAATTTACAGCTATAAAGGGGGAGGGGGAGCCAGAATTATGTGACCAGACAGCTCTCCATGGACCACCATCTGCAGACTACTAGCAGTCTAAAGATGACAGTTGGAGAACCTTTGCCCTAGAACATTATATTTGGATGCTTACATTCTTATTACACACACCCCACATTATAGGTAGATGCTGAAATAGTCTAGGGATGCTGGATGTGCTCTTTTTGATTTCCTGATTCGTTGAAGATTTTCTGTGTCCATCTAAATCATTGCTTAGAAACTGCAAAATAGATTTATTCATCTTCATGTGCAATGGTTATGCAGCATGTTTCACTATGTGGCAGAGAATGTTCTTCACAGTATTGAGTAGTCTGCTACTAGCTACAGAAGATACAGTTTTTAAAATCATATGTAAGCATTACTAAGATTTAAATTGCACGTTTACCGATCATGAATGTCCTAGTTTTCTCAGGAATATTAGATTACACCCATTAGCTGGCAAGGCTTGGGTAGGTCCCTTCATGAAGTACCTTGTATTGCTTTTATGTAGTACAGTCTGTCTTCAATATAACCTAAGCCAATAGAAACTAAACAAAAAGACAATGATCTCAACTGTACATTGAAAAAAATAGCCTAAAGATATTCATAAATACTTCTCAGACAAAAAGGTAGATTTATGTATTTAACAGTGCTCAGGAAAAATTTATAATGAAAAAAAATGCATTAAATGATGATGATAAATACGTTTAAGATTAGATACATATTCTAGTACAAAATCAAAGAGGCTGAGTAACTCTTTTCCTTACCTTCTGGGCATATCAGTGAGGAACATTTCAAAGCAAACTCATCCAAATTAATATAAAAGCAAAACTGCTTATCCATTGCAGAACCTTTCGAAGGTACCTAAGAGGAATTTTTGTTGTTTATCCCATTGCTAGAGTCAGAATATTAGAATGTGGGAAGTCACGGGCAGATTTTCTAACAGAATGGCATTCAGGAGCTATTTTATGTAGAGATCTTGTGCAGTTTAGTAGCAACGCTGAAATAAGTCTCTTCCTTCTGGGAGAAGTAAGATGGCATTCTGCTAAATGCTAGAATTTTATCACTTGGGGGAATAAAAAGCTGCCAGAGAGGTCTAAGAATATAAAAGCATTTGAGATCTCAGAAGGAGTTTAAATCAATGCACTGCCACAGTTACAGTGCAGATGAAAGAGCCTGCTGTCTCAATTGCCAGGAAACTACTTAGAAACTCTCCCTTTGATTTCTTTTGGTAGTCCATTAAATTACCGCTAAATGCAATAGATAGGGACATCAGTGCTTTGATGTTGTATAGCTACAACAAATGGAAACTAATATGGTAGAACCGTCAACCTTTGTGATTTGCATGTGTATATACAAATACATACCCATCAATCTCCTTATCTGACTGTGTATCTCCACTACCAGTCTGTCTACCTAGTGTACCTCTTTTCATTACAATTACTATTATTTTGTGCCCATTTTCCAACAGAGAGCAAAGCATATATTTTTGATGGAAGGAAAAATAAAATTGTCTCTCCCCGCTACTTCTAAGCTATGAATGGTGTGAATTCAGTAATGATAGAGAGCCACAGTAGTGCTTTGAGACAGGTTAGAGTAGCAGTTCTACTGCTAACCAGGACTGATCGTGATGGAGAATTAGAAACATTGCCTTGATGATACTCAGCACTGAAGCATTTTTGTTATCACAATCTAATCATTGCACAGATATTTACACCACTTGAAAATTAAGAGTGTAATAAAACATATAGGGTCAGATTATCTGGCTTTATCCAGCTCTTTGCTCCATGAGTGCTGGAAAGGGACAGTAAACTTTCTGCATGTCCTTAGCTGGGAATTGTGTGGGGAGATACAGGGCAGGGATGAAACTGAAGGAGTGTGGAGCTAACGTTCACTGCTGCCTCTGTGGCACCAGCTCTTCCACAACCACCCTGGATTCTGCAGAAGTTTCTCCATGGACTCCAGAGTCCACCCTGGTGAGGAAGGTGAAGACTGAAGCTCCAGGGTGAAGAGAGAGGGGAACAGGATTGGGACTAGAGAGAGGTATATATCTTCCCCCATCCAACCCCACAGAAATTATATGAAAAAGATAATACACCTCCTACCTGAAATATCTTTTCCAAATAATCCTCTCCTCCCCTGCCACTTCTCCCAAGAAGGCGTTCACCATCTGGGGAAGTCTTTAAATGGAACTGCACAGCTAGTGAGTTGGTAGGGGCTATTCCAGGGTCCTGGCTCAGTGCAGGGGCACAGGCGCTTTGCATGGATGGCCCTAACCTCCCACAGACCCTGTGGAATATGATGAGTTTGGGGCAGCCCTGCAGCTTTTTCTGCAGAGAACAAAACAAAACATGACACGCTGATGTGTGGGCATTTCCCTCAAAAGCAGTTACTCTCGGCAAAATCCAGTGAACCCAGTAGGAAATGTGCCTCAGTAAAGTCTTCAGGATTTGTGTTTTGTAATGATGATTATAAAAACCCAGCAGGCCATTTGTGAAGTTTCATTATCACTGATGTAATAAATGCACATTATTGATAATAGCATTTTTTAAAAATACGGAATGTGAATTAAAATGTTTCAGATAGAAGCTAATTATCAAAAACAAACACGTAACAAGTAATAAAAAGAACTCTGCTGACACATTCTCTCTAGCTCGCTGCTGAGTTTTTTCCAGATCCCATTGACAAAGTTATATAGATGTATCCATGGTTATTTATCCATATATTAGGGTGGTAATTTCTTATACTGTACATAAATAGGGATCCTGCAATGTATGTGTGCCTCTCACACTTGCAGTTTCACAGAGTTTGATCCTGTGATGCATTCCAGAGGTGCATTCCCCAGTGAAATCATATAAAGTGCATTTAACTTAATGAGTTACCGTTGCATTATGCAGCTCAGGATCAAGCCCTTAGAATTTATTCTTAGGTTATCTGAGATAAAATTTCTCAATATATTTATTTGTGTGTGTAAAGGATTGGAAGCACAGTCCCTCCATTCCCCAGCCCCCATCCTCCCAGTGGTGTTGTGCCTGTCACTGTCCAACATTAAATACTATTAAACAAGGTTCGGTATACGGAGAACTCAGCCTGCTTAGTACCATGACAAACATACTTTTAAAAATCCTTTTAACCTTTTATTAAAGATACAGAAAAGAAGGAAAAACAGCATTTGAAATGTTAAGTAAGGCTTTTATTTTAACAATATACCTTGTTCCCTTTCCCTTTAACTGGAGAGAGTTTGAGAAGGGGAAAAAACCCTTGTTTGACAGTCTTTTAAGTGATATCAAAGATGGTAATAATTATTCTTGTGAGTAATAGAGAAGAAGTTGGTTGAAATGAGCTGGAGCTTCTTGTTGCTGCTGTTTTTGTTAAAGCCCGATCCCATTTCATCTCAGGTTGTGTTTGGGATTCAACTCTGGCCAGTATCAGTGGCAATATTATCTAGGTCCCTCTGTCTGGCACAGGCTGGTCAGGACATCTCTCAGGATTAGGATGACGAAGGTCCAGGATCCCACGAGATAGTGAGGGTGGGTAGCCATGATGATGAAGTTTGCTTCAGTGACCCCTGGTTGTTCTTTTCCCCAAAAATCTCTTTAAGGATCCAAAAAGGAAATGATAAGTGGAATAGCCCCTCCCTTCATTAGTTTGTCCACCAGTGAGGCCTTATTTCCAGCACATCAGTTTTGGTTCATTAGTTTCCAGACAACATTCTGTTGTTTGCCAGGCATGATCGCAACACAGTCCTTGAGTTGTAGATGTAGTCTTTTTGTTTAGAGTAATTCAGCTTTTCCCAGCAACATTTTCATTATAGGTTATTGTGATATCTTATGAATTTTCACATTTTAGGGGAGGGATAGCTCAGTGGTTTGAGCATTGGCCTGCTAAACCCAGGGTTGTGAGTTCAATCCTTGAGGGGGCCAATTAGGGATGTGGGGCAAAAATTGGGGATTGATCCTGCTTTGAGCAGGGGGTTGGACTAGATGACCTCTTGAGGTCCCTTCCAACCCTGATATTCTATGGTTCTATGAATTTAGCTTAACAAAGAGAAGGTTAAGGGGTGACTTGATTACAGTCTATATTTTTACAGTTGAGCTCGCAATTAGAGTAAATTTAAATTATCACAACAACTCGTCTGATTTTTAGTTTGCTATCATCTTCTGTACATTCTTAGGTTATTTCAATTCATAATGTTGCACCATAATATGGTAAAAAGTAAAAGCCTCTCTACTTATAAGGTTATAACAGGTATCCTCCAGTGTATCTCATGTGTACACATCCTGTCAAAATATTTCAGAAATTCAACAACAGAATCTGAACTTGTTTTAAGTGACATGACATAGCATGGCTTTTAACTGTATTTTTTCTTACATTTTAAATATTTTTTTAAATAGCTAATAAAAGTGTTACACATATGCTTAAAAAATAGAACCTTTTAGCGAAGAAAGAGGTTTAAATAAAGCATCAGTTGAGTTTTCAGTTAAATAACCTGTGGAGGAAATTATTATGATGTTCTCTATAATTGCTCTGAAAAGAAAATCTCTAAGTCTATGGAAGGCATAACAGACCTAATTAATGCTCACCCTGTTTCTCCAGAGAAACAGATTTTGTGTAATGTAAATGGGCTGCATAGGAAATGTTCTTGTCCATATTTCATAGTTATTTCCCTTTTTTCCTGCAGAGCTGTGGTGTACGATATTTTAAAATGTACCTTTCTTCTTCTGAACTGCAGCTTGTATTAGTTTGTGAAACCATGTGTAAAATGCTGATATGTTACCTAGGTCTTTTTTTCCCCTAAGTGGTGAAATCAAATATCTTGTGAATCTTAGGATTTAGTTTTAGAGTATTGTGTGTGTGTTTATATTGTCTTGAAGTAGGTGACCATTTCATTGTTTTATTCATTACATGCATGTCTTATGCAGGAGTACTACTGCTTTTCTGATGTCTACATATGAATAAAAGCTTATATCAGTCCCTGAAAACACTGACTTAGCCTGCTGCCTGATAGTCTATCCAAAGATTTACCTAATATGTCTGCAGTTTGTACGGCAGGAAAATTGGTGGTTCCTCTTTAAGAGGATACAGTATTGATTGGGCTTCTTTCCCCTTCACAGTGCTTATTTCACCTTCATTGGATACTTCAGCTGACCCCTCCCCCTCATGTTCCTCATATGAGTTGGAAGGGAGCCAGCCAGTAAGGCCTAGCAATACAGAGTACTCATGCCAAGTGGTTGCAATTCTTTGGAAACAAAAACAAAAAACACACACCACAGCTCAGCAGAGCCAGGTCTACAGACTCGGGCTCACACTACAGCACTGAAAATAGACATTTGGATTGTCTAGCTCAGGCTGGAGCTCAGGCTCTGAAGCCTATCCCCTCTCGGCTTCAGAGCCTGAGCTCTAGCCCAATCTGCAATGTCTACATGGCTATTTATAGCACCGTAGCACGAGCCTGAGTCTGTAGACCTGGGTTCTGAGACATTTATTTGTTTGCAGTGTAGACATACTTTTACAACCCCAGAATTGTAAATCTTTTCAATTGTAGTGCCAGCCTCACAATGTTTGGGGGTTTTTTGCTTCTTTATTTTTGAAGACCAAGTTCCTGAAATCCATTGATTATATGAGGATCTCAGTTTTTTGTGTTTATTTTTTTCAAGTACATTTCTAGCTCTCAGGGTCATAGAAGAGACCTTTAAATGTGAATCCTAAAGGCTCAAAAACCAGAAGATAAATTAAAACAATCCCATTTTTAAAAAAAATTCTCATGGTCTTGGGGTGGGATCCTGACTCATGCTTTGGTCACTTGTGCTCGGCAATACTAAGGACCAACACTTTGGGCAGGAATTGTGTGTGTGTGTGTGTGAGAACTCAACTTGGTTCATGGAGCCTGTTGATGTCTCCAGTTTATTTTAGTGCTCTGGTTGGGATTTCTGAAACTGGTATCAGATGACACTTATTGCCATATTTGATGTCTTTTGGAGATTTTTCATAGCTGAATTTGGGCTTTTAGCTGCCCAGGCTATATCCACTACGCTCTTTGATGGTTGGTGCCCATCAGACAGTCCAGTCACTGATGAGTGAGCTACGGCTTGGGCCCTGGGAGACAGTCAGTAGAACAGTCATGGGGGTTTTT